GATACAGCAGAACGTCATAGCCCCAGACGGACTGTCCTTTACTAAATTACTAGTTATATCTCCTGCTTCTGCTTGCTCATCCCCTCTCATCTTACTTTCCAGGGGCGTGCCATGGACACAGAAAGAGTTCACCATCATCTTCCAAACCTGCGCTCACGCCCACGACTTCACCGCCGCCCAAGCGGCCTACAGCCAAATGCAGCAGAAGGGCATCGCCCCAGACGCCCAGGCTGTCAGTGCTCTTCTATCGGCGGCGTGTGTGGCGGAGGATGTGGCGGCGGGTGAGTTTGTGCACGGTATCATGAAGGAGAATAATATCAAAGCCAACTTAGTGTTATACACGCAGCTGATTCGGCTGTATACTGACGATTACCCGAAGGTGGTGCAGACCCTACATGAGATGAGCGCGAAGGTGAGTGGCGTTGTGTGCCAGCACGGGCGGCTGTAGGCAGGCCTACGGTTTAGTATATGCCTGTGTGTGCTTCTTAAGTAGGGTTTGCATACACGTGGTCGCAGGCCTACGGTTCAGTATACGCCTGTGTGTGCTTTTTAAGTAGGGTTTGCAAACACGTGGTCGCGTTGCTTCCAATTTTGCTATTGGGTTCAGTGTCGAATGGGGTTTTTGGTATATCTGAGTGCCGAAACTCTGCGCATCACACCATCTATATATGGGCGTTGGTGTGTCAAAGCTCAATGCTCGTGGGGATCTATACAACTTGTATTACCAAGGTAATCAGGATGACAAATATTGGTGAAAGCAAACTATGAATGCATTTCCGTGACTAATTGAGTTGCTATATGTTCACAATAAACAAACTAACATACATACATACGAACATGCATACATATATACATATACCCATACATATATACATACATACGTACGTACATTCATATATACATACATACATATATACATACATACATACATACATACAAAAAGAACATACATACATACATACATACATACATACATACATACATATTTACATACATACATACATACATACATACATGCATGCATACATGCATACATGCACACATACATACATACATATGTATTTACTTACATACATACAAACCATATATATATATGTATATAATATATATATAATACAGATACATACATACATACATGCATACATACATACAAAAAGAACACAT